CTCTGGTAGGTACATTACTAATCATTGTTTGTAAAATGAACAAAATATTTGAGGCAAACACATGAAATGTAAGCTAAAGAGAATCAATTTTGATGAGACTTTTTTTCTTAAACACATTTCAAGATGTCATGAGCATGAGGGATTTCAGAAAGCTTTAATGAAACAAACAAATAGGAAAGAAAAACAAAAGCAGACAGGCAATTTCCTGTGAACATAACAAACATTTATGGAAGAGCTTTCTGTTCAGGCATGTGGGAGACCCTGAGAAAAACAGACTGAGACTTCCAGCAGAAGGTTAAGTTCTAAAAGCATGGAGTGGTGATTCTCTCTTGGTCTGTATTCTGTGCTGGTCCAGTATTTCCAGACATCTTTATGTCTTCATCGATATGATACAGCTGACTCTGTGGCTTTAAGAGGCATAAGGGGTATGTTTTGAATGAGGTCTAAAGAGATCATCCAGTGCCAAAGTCTGAGCCTGAGGTGTCTGCTTTTTCGATTAAGGAAGCCCATCATCATCCCTAACAACATCTTATCAGAAGTAGATTTCATGTTTCGGTGAATGTCTTTTCTATAATATCTAGGTCATCTGACACTGCTTCTCTTAATCTTTTAATTTTTGAGAATTTCATACATGAGTGCTGTCTTCACACTATTTCCATCCCTCCCAGTCTGTCTCAATTTCTTACCCTCTTCTTTGATTATTACTGTTACATACACATGCATGTATTTATAGATACACAGAAAAAGAGAGAGAGAGAGAGAGAGAGAGAGAGTCCATTTAGTGATGCTTCTGTGTACCTGTGCCTCTGCTCCAACCTTTGAGTCATTCATTTAGGATTAGATAACTTCTCAGAGAGCTAGTCCCTGGAGAAAACTGATTCTTTTTCCCTCAGAATTCACGCCTGCTACAGGATTTTTATGGCTTTGAAATGACTGTTTGATGACATGATGGTAGAGACAAGTCATTAAGTGTTTGTCCAAATCAGTAAAATTTCCGAAGAGAAGAGTGAACCCTAATGTCAACTATGGACTCTAAACCATTGAATATCTCTTCTTCTCTGTCCCCAAGAGTTTATTACTTAAGGTGAGCTATTGGGAGATAAGTTTGTATTTTCCTGGTGATGTTTGATTTCATCGTCAATCTCACTGGATTTAGAATCACCTCTGGGTGTGTCTTTGAGGTGTGTCTTTTAGATCTTTCTGGAAAGATTTAAAAGAAGGAAGACGACACTGAATGTGGCAGGGTCAGCCCATTCACTGGGTCCCGGACTGAGTAAAAGGAGAAAGAGAGCTGAGCCCCAGCACTCCCCCCTCCTTCTGCTTCCTGACTGCAGGTGCAGTGCGACCAGCCACCTTCTGCCACAATTCCTTCCTTGCCATGATGGACTGGGTCCCTTCTTAAATTGTGGGCCAAAATAAAACCTTCCTCCCTTAAGTTGCTGCTTTTCAAGTATTTGGTCAAAGCAATGAGAAAACTATCAAATACAATCCTTTACAAGATGGGTCCCTTAAACTTTAGATTTTGTGAATTACTTTACCAACACCTACACACTTCTCAGCAAACAGATTAAGCCAAGCTTTTGAACCAAAAAGAGGACAAACTTCTGTTTCCACTAACACTAACTTAATATGTACCAATTCAATATGCCAGGAATTGCACAAGATCTCGTCTCACTGTCTCTTTTCAGCCTAACAACGATTTCGGGCTATCACTCTGCCTTGTTTATAGCCAAAGAAATGAACCCCAAGTGAGCTAAGAGCTTTGCTCATGATCCCCAAGTAGTTGAAGAATCAAAATCAGAATTCATAGCTCTGTTCTTGAAGTCTGTACTCTCCCTGGACACACAGGGACCCCATTTAGATGCAGCACATAAATGTGCACCAGCATTTGAGCATGTCCCACTTGCATTTGGATTCTGATGTATCCTGACAACATTGCCACAGCCTGGAGACCTAGGAGACACCTCTGAGCACATGAGTGTTTTGGAAACAAAGAGAAGAGGTGTGCATAATGGAGATGACCATCTGCTTAAGCACACATCCATGTATGTATGTGTTCATACACACAAAGCCACACATACATGCATACACGCCCATACTTGGCTCAGTGAAAACTTTATTAAAGATCATAAGGACCTGATTCCTTTAAAAAGGAACCTACTTTGGGTATTTTTTTCAGAGAACGTATCAAGTCCTAGGCTTGCTAGAACTGACTTTTTGCTGCCTCTTGCCTAGTTTTAAATCTTGCCACCAGACAGATGTTGACTTCTCCTCACTGATAGTCTGGATATTCCTAAACTTTTATATGCTCATGTTATAATGGACCGGAGGAGGCCAGACAGATGTTGACTTCTCCTCACTGATAGTCTGGATATTCCTAAACTTTGTACATCCCCCTGACCATTGCCTGAGAAAAGCAAGATTTAGAAGGGACACCTGACAGGTACGAATAGATCACTGCTGGGTGTCAGTGCAGGCAATGGTGGGGTCCATGCAGAGTCTCTTTCTCACAGATCAAAAGATACTTTGAGACTCCGAGGAGCCGAGGAACCTCAGGTGCCTGAGGTTTAGTGACCCTTCCACAGGTGAAAGGGACATGGCCTGAAATGATTCTCTCAGGAAAAAAAGGCAATCTGACCTTGAGTTTTATAAATTTATTGGTGGGACACAGGAATGGGAAGTGAAGCCCAAACAAAGTCAAGGACTCAAAGATTGAGAGCCAAATCCCTTAGATGGTAGGTCCAGACTGGATGGGCACTACCAGCCCTACAATGGACAATGATTACAACAGATGCAGCTGTGACCAGAGGCTTGGCCTGAGCTGGGGCTAGTTTCTGCAGGAATGTCCATCAATGCACTTGAAACCTTATATGCTCATGTTATAATGGACCGGAGGAGAATCGTGGTCACCCTAGAGAGAACCTGCATCTGCAAGGGGACACACAGGCAGAGGAAGGGTTAGGGGTCAGGTCCTCATGAGGGGTATGGAAGGTAAGGGAAGAATTCCCTTTGCACTGGGGCAGAAGGATGACTTCCACCCTAGAATCTTGATGCTGGTTAAAAAAAAAAAAAGGCAAAAAAGCTGAAAGAAGGTAATGTTGGAGACAAAGAAAAGCAAGAAGTAGGTGATGTAAATGGAACAGAAGGACTTCTTGAAGGAAGGAGTCCAGAGAAAACCAGGGCTGAGCAGACGAGGGGAACTGGCTGTCGATTTATCTAACAGTTTTCTTGGTGGGTGAACCCAAAGCCAAGGTCTTCCCTGGGATATCCTTGAATTCACTTGCACTACCCAGTCTGGTCTTGGTTTCCCCACGGGAGCTGCAGTTCCCACTGCCGGTAACACAGCCCCCAGGCAATATGCCATAGCCCCCACCAACAGAGCTGGACTGGTAGCCATAGATGCCAGTGTTGTTGAACCCAAAGCTATTGCCTGCGCCGACTGTCCCAGGCATGGAACTGCTGATGACCGCTGTGGAGGGTTGAAAGAAGAGGTATCAGTGTGTGTTTCAAGACAGAAGTAGCCCGAAGTATCTTCCAACCTCTAGCCCCAACTAACTAAAAAAATCCTCCTTCTAAGTAAACCCCTCAAGTTGACTATGAGCTTGTTTAGTGACACATGTTCAATCCCGAGCAGCTCAAGCTCTGGGGAAAACAGCCCAGATCTCACAGATCCTCCAATCAGGCACCCACTTTCTCTTGGAGTGACCAAGAGTAGCAAGGGCTTCCCCAAAGGACAGGTGATGCCAAGGCACCAGGTAAGCCGAGTTCTCACGTTTCACCTTAGAATACACTCTTAGCTTGTTTCTTTCGGTGGTGTTTCCAATGACTTGAATTAGGGCATTTGTGCTGGCTAACTCTCTTAGGAAGAAAGTAACTGAACCCTGCGGGACCAGCATTAGCACTGCTCTGCACAGCTTGACTATACAGGTCTCTACTCACAGAGGGGACAGGCAATTCTGTGCTCAGTTTCCAGCATGCAGGGAAATGGGGAGGTGTGGGTAGCAGGAGGGGGATGGGGCTGTTGAGAGTTTCATCCCAGCACAGGTGAAATTTCTGGGAAAGGAGCCACTATTTGCAACGCCAGAGTGGTGGGAAGCTGTTATAAAAGAAGCAGCTCTGGAGAGTGGGGAGAACAGGAAGCCACGCCCAGACTGCTCCTAGGAGACTCTGATGGGAGACACCCACCCACGTGTTCACTTTGAGTTTGCTGAATGCCTGGAATAGTCCATTGGAGATGTGAAATACTTACAAATGCTCACAGAGTTGGTGTATTCTCCAGACATCCTGCACAGAAAAAGCACAGGGGAGCCTCTATCACACATGGACTCCCAGGGCGGTCCTTACCACTCACTGAACACCAGCCAGAATCATCAGCCATTCCAGCCCAGCCTCTGCCAGCCCCACCAGCCACCAGCCAGTCGGAGGGCATTAACTGTCCCTGTCTCAAGGTGTGGGCCTCCAAGGGCCTCTTACCCTCCACAGAGCTGGGGTTCGTACACCAGCACCACTGCCAGCCCCTCCCCCACCTGTGGGATTTGTCTTGAACCCATTGCTTTGCTACTACCTGAGTAGGAGAGGAGTGGAAATAAAGGGTTTCCAAGTTCCAGTGTTTGTGTCCTGCTCCTCCCACTGTGCTACACCATGTGCAGCCTGTATGGCTATCAATTGAGTATTTTTAACTGCCTAACATTTATAAGAAAAGTGCATTTTTCTAAAAAGAAGGTTTTATGTCACTATAGGTAAATAGAAAATCAGTATTATATAACCAAATAAGAAACAGTAAGTATGACTAAAAATGATTATAATGGAAATGAAGTTATTTAAGTGGAAGAGGAAAGCTAGATAGTGCTATCTACTAAGGGACTCTGAACTTGGGATCTACTGTTTCTTCATTAACAGAAGTTATTTGCAAGTGTCTCCCAGGCCTTGAAGCCCACAGCACTAAGCTCTGCAGAGCTGAAGGAGAATTTGAAGGGCATTTCTGTCATACCATTGGCTGGAGACTGTGCTGGGTCATATTTGTGGGTAAACTGAAAAGCATCTATAGCTTTTCCAGCAGTCTTCATCCCACATTCTGGGAAACTGAGTCGGGGGAGAATTGGAAAGGCTCTTGCAATGCTCTCCAGGCCTCACCTGCACTCCTCGCCCTCCAGCAGCTTGCGGTAGGTGGCGATCTCAATGTCCAGGGACAGCTTCACACTCATCAGCTCCTGATGCTCACGCAGCATTCGGGCCAGTTCCTCCTTAGCCTGCTGCAGGGCACCCTCCAGCTCATCCAGCTTGCCCCGTGCGTCCTTGAGGGCACAGTCACCTCGTTGCTCGGCATCAGCGATGGCCATCTCCAGGTTGGAGCACTGAGGGGCAGGAAGTGGGAGTCCCTTTGAGTTCCAAGGCACCCATATATCACTTCACCCCCATATACCCATAGAAGGTACTCTGTCCTGACCCACTTCCTGGAGCAGAGGCCCAACCAGGTCTCTGGCAGCAAAGACCTTCAACATGGCTACAGGGAAGCTTGTTATTCCAAGTCCTATAGCTTTATGAGAAAAAAAAGACTGTAATTCTGAAGTTCCAGACAAGATAGGAACAAAGAGAGGGGGGAGAGTGAGTAAGGGGTTTCTGAGACAGAGAGAACAAACAGGAGAAAGCTCAGTCCCCCTTGGGAGTAGGTCAGGAGCCCGTCACTCACTTGCTTCTTCACATTCTCGATTTCTGATCGCAGTCTCTGCATGAACCGAGTCAGCTCAGAGATCTCATTCCTAGTGTGTTTGAGGTCATCCCCATGCCGGCCAGCTACCAGCTGCAGCTCCTGGAACTGGGGGATGGGGAAGAGCAAAGTAGTGCTATAACTTAGGGCCTGCCAGAGCCCAGTACCTTTGTTTGGGGCTGTGTGGCAGAAGAGGCAAGGGATCCCCAGCCCTCAGATTCACCAACTCATCAGCAGCATCCTCTTTAACAGTTTGTCCTTGGATTTATTCATTTGACTTGAGTACAGCTTATCTCCTTGAGGGTTAGGTTTGTCTATACTCTTAAAAGTCCCACACTCTCCATATGACATCTCTGTAACATGCATCTTTAGTTATCACCCTCTCTAGGCTGAGAGGTCAAGATCAAATCAAACTCCTAGCATGGCATCAAGGTGTTCATTTCTTATCCCCCTGCCTTCACTTATCTGGTTCCCCAGCTTTGCCAAATAGTCCCACAATACTCTCCCAAATGTCCCACATGCTCTCATGACTCTTTGGGTTTGTATGAACGTCTCTCTCCCTGTGAAACCCTCCCACCCATCCTCTCTCTTCCTTAAGTAGCTCCAGCTCAGCCAGGTCAGAGCCACTTTCTAGGAGGCCTTTCCTCATCCTCCAGTTTGGTGAAATTCTGTTCCCATCATCCTGGGCACACCAGTTCAGAAGTGAGACAATACTAGACCATGATAGCATGTGTCTAAGTCTTCCTTGATAGCTGGATTTTTTCCACTTCTGAACATTCAGTATGTAACATGGTGCCTCCCTAATGCTCAAAAAATGACTGATGAATGTATGTATGAATTAGTAAGTGGATGGATGTAAGAATGGATGGATGGAGGGATGGAGGGATGGATGGATGGATGGATGGATGGTTGGATGGATGAAGGGCTAATCTTTATTTTCTGACTTCCTCCTCTCCCTGCTAGCTTAGACTGGCATCAAGGTGTAGGTCATCTTGGGCTGGGAAGGAGGACAGTCTTAGCACTAAATATCAACTATGGATCTTAGTTATCTACTAGCTCTGGATTCCTCCTGCCTTTTAGGTTGCCCACTGAACAGTCAACAGAGAGTACCCAAACTCTATCTCAGAATTCAACTTAAAGGTAACATAGAACATGTGTGGCCTTCAGTACTCTAAGGTGATATGATATTGCCCTGACCCTGTCCCTGAATGCTTAGCCCAGATTGCCAGCTTTAGCACCTCAGAAGCTGCGGTCAGTGCCCTAAACTCAGAGCTACCACCATCTCTGGCTAAATGCCCTGTTAAGTTTCCTGCAATTCCAGAGCCCACTTCTTCATCTTTAAATGGGGGAATAAGTAAAACCAGCCTCATAGCACTGTGGTTAGAACCCCAGCCATGGTATTCTGCTCAGTAAGCCCATACTGGAAAAGTGGAGGTGCAGATAACCCCACAGCAAATGGCTCATAATCACATCTATGAGGCCTGCCTGATTCTTTTGGAAAGGGTTGTTGGGGGTGACAGCCTGGGGTTGAATACTACCTCCTATTAAGCCGTATTGCTAATTTCAATCCTGGCTTATAAAAGTAATGGGGAAGAGACTGGGAACAGGCCTTTTTTTCAAAAAGTCCAGGCCTATGCTATCCTCTAATCCCAGAAGGTCTCTCTCTTTCCCCCACAGGCCAACCCTCTCAGGCTGGGAAGGAGATAGAGAAAGAGAGATAAGATCTCCCAAGGATGATTTCCCTAGAGAAAAAGCCTGATAAACAACAAGGAACAATGAGACTGCTGCTATTCTGATCTGAGAAAGCAGATTATCTAAGAGTCGCCTCCCACCCACACCCATTAGAGGAACTGAGATGCAAGGGTTACAATTGCCTTCCTGAACAAGGAACAATGAGACTGCTGCTATTCTGATCTGAGAAAGCAGATTATCTGAGTCGCCTCCCACCCACACCCATTAGAGGAACTGAGATGCAAGGGTTGCAATTGCCTTCCTTGTCCCTGGAGTTGAATTTAAATGAAAAGGTAGGAGTTGTCTGATCCTAGATCACATTGAAGAGACCCCTAATTTATCATAATGAATGATGGTGATGCTGACTACTTATATTTCCCCTCCCCCAAACCAGTTCAGAGCACTGAGCCTCCAGGAAGTCAGTCCTGCCCTATCCCACCTGGTCCCACATCCCTAGTCATGTGCACCCAGCAGTGTGAATCCTGCAATGGCTGTCACAGGTCTAAGATCCCAAGGACAGTGCTGCATCTTCTCCCTTCAAGATTTCCCCAGTGTCAAAGTCATGTTCCAGCAATCTGGAGGCTGTGGTGAGTCGTGGAACAGAGAAGATGACAGCAAACCAGAGGCCCTACATTCATGACTCCGCAGAGGTGTACCAGCCCCACCTTCGTCTGGTACGCTGACTCCGCCTCGGCCTTGCTCTTCCGGGCGATGTCCTCATACTGAGTGCGGACTTCAGAGATGATGCTGTCCAGGTCCAGGCTGCGATTGTTATCCATGGACAAGATGACAGATGTGTCACTGATGTGGGACTGCATCTGAGCCATCTCCTGCAGGGAATCAAGGAGGCACAAAATTCCTGTTGTGACCAGAGGAAGGTGCCAAAATGGTGGCCCTGTCCCAGCAGGATGACCCCAAGCAGGCACAAGTTACACTCCCTAAAGGCAGATAAGAACAGAGCCAGGGTTTCAATACCCCACTGAAAAACTACCCAGTGGATTTGAAGCCAACCAAGAAGAAAACAGTTCACATGTCCTGGGGAAGGGGGCACTTGGGACATGGCAGTCATGCATGCTTGGCTGAGGCTTGAAGTCATTCATAGAGGAAGTGCAGAATGTGAGAAGTCTGCAGCTTCCTAGGGATTCATGCCCCAAACCCCAGGAACCATCCCAAGTATCAGAGCAAGCAGTGCCAAGAATGTGCTTGGCTGAAGTTCAGTGGGAACCCCTTGGTTACCCACGGCTTCTCAAAACTTGTGAGAGTAGGACATCTGGGAGGCAAGCAGGACAGCTCATCACCCCTGCCTTTGATCTACAAAGACCCCAGCATACAAACCTGGAGGGCTCCTGGGCTCTTAAACTTACTGATACTTAGGTAACTATTCATCATGAGTCCTTCCAGAAGCCAGAGCTAGAAGTGAAGGCAGGACTTACCCCTTCATACAGGCACTTGAAAAATTTGATCTCTCCATCCAGGGCATCCACCTTGGCCTGCAACTCCACCTTGCTCATGTACGCTGCATCCACATCCTAAGGAGAACCCAGACACCCCCTGACCAGCCTAGCCCATTAAATGACATCCCAGAGCCTGTCCTGTGTCCGTCCCACTAGGCATGAGATGGGACTGACACATGGACCCTTGACCCTTTACACAACAGGGAAGAAACTGGCAAGGGATCCCTGTTATACAATCCCCAGTGTCCAAAACATCTCGGCTTATCAGTCCCAGACCCTTCTCTGGGGCATAGAGACCCCAATCCCTCCTCCACTCTTAGCTCTGTCCCCATCCTGGAAGACTCAGGCCAGGCAACCTCCTCACCTTCTTAAGTACCACAAATTCATTCTCAGCAGTCGTACGTTTGTTTATTTCCTCTTCGTACCTATAGGAAAATCATCAGTGAGCAGGGGGGTGGAGTGCGCGCGTGTGTATGTGTGTGTGTGTGTGTGCGTGCGTGTGTATTTTTGCGTTCTCACTGAGAAATGAGACAGACTGTCCACATCATGGATTTTTAAATCTTTAAGCAGGTATATGCAACTGTCCCAACTTGATAGGACCATTTGGCTAAGTTGTGGGCAGGGTCCCAGACCTGAGGGCTAGAAAGTTCAGGTCTAGATTTCCTCTGATGCCTGGGGAATGAATCAGTTTATCCTGCTCACTCTCAGCATCCAAATCACAGGAACAGGAATGTATTAGCAGAAACTCTGCTACCTGACACCCTCCTAACAACTCTACTCCATCCTGAGGTAAGAGTTTCAGGAAGCCAGAACTGTCCCTCAGGTCAAGAAGGAGGAGTGTGCTCAGAGGTACAGGACACATACACAAAAAAAGAGAGAGAGAAGGGAAGCCCAACGGGAACACCACCTCCTGTCCTACTGGGGTTTCCTTGGAACTCGGGGCACCCTGGCTGAGCTTAGGACCTAGGGTTCTGTGTTGGGCACACAGGGACTGTCTAGTGGGGATTAGAAGCAGCATATGAAGGAGGAGACTGCCTACAGGGACACTGAGTGGCCACTGTCCAGTCTACTTGTTATACCAATGAAGGCTCTCATCTTGCCTGGGGAGATGTGTTCAGATGGCATGCTCTACCCAAGTTCAGTGCCCATGAGGCCACAAGCAAAGTCCCAGGACCTGCTTGGAAAGCCTCACCCTGAGAAGCAGCTAGCCCAGGCACAGTGTCCCCACTCACCTCTTCTTGCAATCCTCTACTGTATCCCGCATGTTCCTCAGTTCTGAGTCCAGCCTCACTCTGTCCCCAGACAGTGTGTCCAGCTGCTTTTGCAGGCTGCTGATGTGGCCCTCGTAAACAGGCTCCAGGTTCTTCCTGCAGTTGTTCAGGTCCAGCTGCTGCAGCAGCTCCCATTTGGTCTCCAGCACCTGGTTCTGTTGCTCTAGGAAGCGCACCTGCAACCCAAACCAACAACCACTGAACCCGTTCACAGTCAATAGGGAAGAGGGTATGTAGGCTTTCTTTCCAGAGGAAAGAAAAAGGAAAGGTTTTCCTCTACTATTCCAGCTTCAAAGGTGATCCCTGAAAAAAATGCCACTCAAATACCTCCCTCTGATGACCCTTAGCCTAGCAGAGGCATTCACCCTGGAGGCAGGCCTGAAGGTCAGGAGAGGCCCCGACATGCACTTCTGTCCAACCTGTCAAGACGTTGACCTTCGGCTCCAGACTCTCCTATGTCTTCTTCCTTCCTGGTTGTCAGACAGATTTCAGTGTGCTACAGCATTCTTTTTGTTGTTGTTGTTGTTTTGTTTTGTTTTTTTGAGACAGGGTCTCCTTGTCAGACAGATTTCAGTGTGCTACAGCATTCTTTTTGTTGTTGTTGTTGTTGTTTTGTTTTGTTTTTTTGAGACAGGGTCTCCCGCAGGTTGCAGAGCACCCAGCATTCTGAACCTCCCAGATCATTGCTGGCCTTGCTTCTGGCCGCCTTCTAAACCCCACTGGTTCTTTCCCACTCTCCCGCTTCTCAACCAATCTAAAAGTGGCTTTCTCTTCCTAGACACCTTCCAAACAAAGCTCTCTCTCTAGCTCCTTGCAGCCCTCGGCTCCCATCCCTTGGCTCTGATGTCCAGGGCATTGTCTGATTCCTATCTGCTCTGTCCTGGGCTGTGTCTAAGAAGAGGTCTCATCATCTCTCCAGACAGGGAGCCTGACAAGGCATTGAAAGGGAAGGAAGGAAGGAGAACTTGTGCTCGGCTTTCAGCAGACCCACCTTATCAATGAAGGAGGCAAATTTGTTGTTCAGAGCCTTGATCTGCTCCCGCTCCTGGGCGCGTACCTTCTGGATCTCCGGGTCCAGCTCCACATTGAGTGGGGCCAGGAGGCTCTTGTTGACAGTGACCTGGTGGATGCCTCCAGGTGGACACAAAGATGGACTCGAGGGTCCCAGAGCCCCACTGCCAAATATGCTGCCAGCGAAGCCACTGACCCGATTCCGGCCAAAGCCATAAGCCCCTGTGCGCCCACTGCCACCTGCCACATTGAAGGAGATGCTCCTGGTGCCCCTCAGGCTGTAGAGACTCCGACTGCTGAAACCCCCACTGAGCCCTTTGCTCCCTGCCCTGTAAGAGGATGAGCTGCCTCCAGACAGCACAGCGGAGCAGCCACTGAAGCCCCTGTTGGCAGCTCCGGGCTTGCAGGTGAATTGGCGGTTCATGGTGGAGAAGCCACAGGGTGGGAATAAGACAGGCACCCTTTTCTAAGAGACTGTTCACCAGCTTGTGATCTTGGCCTTCCCCTTTATAGAGCTCGGGAGAACAAGTGCTCTAATTGATAGGTTTAATTTGCCTAGAAGGAAGAAATAATTTTCTCCCAGCAAAATCAGAGACACTGGATAACTTGAAAACTCCCAAAGTGCTGGGCTTGCAAGCTCTATGCCTGTAATTGAGTCTTATCTTATTAGCATGGGGTAATTAACCAGGCCATATTATCCTCAGAAAGATCTTGGCTGAGAAGTTTGTCACAGCCCCAACTGTCCTTCCCCTAGGAATGGCGGGGGCTGGTATTATGGGGGTGCTGCGGGAGACCTCTAATTGACAGCATCATCTGTGAGAAATCTCCCACATGTGCCAACATCAGATCATCTGCTCCAGGGGCCCTGGCTGGGCTGCTTTCATGTGGTCAAGAAGTCTTAAGGTCTGGCTCCCCAAGGCTGCTGGAAACAGTTCTCATGGCTGTCTGGCCAGGGACTCAGGGCAGGAGCCCACCAGAATCCAGGCTCTGTCCTCTGGCAGCTAACCTCCTGTTGTGCCCTCAGGTTGGTCCCTTGGTCCCCCTGTGCCAGGCAGGGACCCATCTACCTTCACCTGCACACAGAACCCTGCCCTCACTCTTGATTTAGAAGTGATGGTCACTGCTATCATTCACAATGGTTGATGCTGGTGCAGTGCTTGGAGAACCCCCTAAATATAGCTCATTCCATCTGCCTTGCCTTTCCCTGAGTCACAAATGGGGAAACTGGTGAGCAGATGGAAAGTTAGCCACACCCATATTGGAACTCAGGGAGCGTGATCACAGGTGGGAGCTGGGACAGAGAGGCAAGCGGCCAAGCGTTAAAAGCTGGTGGAAGCTGTGGGCGAGTGTGGGTGAGCCAGCCTGCAGAGCCCCACGTGAACTCTGCAGGGCAAGTCGGCATGTGCAGACGCCAGATGAGGCACTCAAACCATGGGCTCGGTGCACAAAAGCTGTTGGACGCTACAGGCAGAGCTTGAATGGCGCATGGGTTATATGAAGCCATTTCTTTTAAGTCACCCCCCCCCCAAAAAAGTTATGTAAACGATGCAAAAACCAAAACAGAAATGTGTTATGCTGGTTTGTCGATCCGAGTCAGGGCCACGAGACCCTAAGTAACTGAGGGCGGGTCTCCCAGAGAGTGGGAAGGGGAAAATTTAGTGCAACAAATTGGAATAGTAGGCAGAATGAGGCTGGAAAGGACAAATGCAGGAGTTCGGGAAAAGCCAGGAGGCTAGCTGCTGCGCTCACACAGCTCATACAATGGATCATAGAATATGTAACTAGAACTATGCAAGCCATATAGATGTGGACAGACTCAAAGGGGAAAATCCCTGGGCCACAGCTGTACTGTAAATGTGGGGAAAATGGCTCAGTTACTTGTATGTGAAGATTTTTTTAAAGGCCATAGAGAACCTAGAAAAGCATTTTACAAGCCTTGGACACTAGAGGGGAACCCGGAGAGTGGGCGTGGCCACTACTTTGCATAATAAAAGATTTGACGAGGCAGAGGACACTGAAAAGGCTAAGGAGCTACTGGGGAATTCTCAGTCTGAGAGCCTGAGAGAGAAAAAACAGGAGACTTTTAACTTACTTAAGGTTAAAGGACCCAGGAGAAAAGAGAGACAGTAAGGAGAAAAGAAACGACCTAAAAATAAAAGTAGCTAAAGCTGCCCCTGAGATTCGACCTTTGACACAAAAGGAAAAAAGTTGACAGTACTGTAGCTGGGAAATACTCCACACTGGAGCTGCTGAAACCCCGAAAGACCTACATACAAGTGATCAAAGAGCCCTCACCCCGTAACTCATGAGGGTATGGGACATGGGAGCAAAGAATGTCAGCATAAGTTCTTCTGAAGCATCACAGCTGAGTTATATAACCACTCATCCATCCTTGCAACATAGGCTACTCAACCTAGGCCAGTACAGGAGAAGCAGTCCTTAATGGAATGGCTTGTGCAAGGTATTAAAGATACATGGTCATCACCAATGGAGGCTCCCATGATTAACAGGGGCTGGAGGACTATAAAAGATGGACAGGCATTACTGAGAGAACTAGGTATGAGAAAAGCAATATATGATGCCCAGTTAGCTGGGCCAGATAGGGCTGTGTTTACCAGAGATATAAAGGAAAGTTTAATTCAGCTGAGACCTCAAGAATGGTATAGAGCTTCAATGGTTTTACTGAGTCCTTTAGTGAGACAAGATCTTTGTAAAGTGAGAGAGGCTTTAGCAGATCTAAGTGACTCAGACCAGCATGTAAAATGTGTCTGTGAAATAACAGAACACCCTACAAGAGTTATAAGAAAGACCAGACAGAGGAAATGGTCCACTTGGGTTACTCGAAGACAAATGGGGCAAGATTTATATTGAGCCCAAATTCCCAAAGAAAAAAATGATAAAAAACCAAATTCAGTACTAAGGAGTTTCTGGAAGGCTTCAAAACCTGAAAAACAGTTCATAAAAGGCACTCAGAGGATAAAAACTGTCCCAGGGGTGGTTAAGGATCCCTAAAGATTAAATAAGGTATATTTCTCTCCAGAGAAAGCCTATACTAGGGGTGGAGGCAGTTTTTCCCACTAGGGCCTCCCCCAACAGCCAGGTATGGTCAATGGAGAGATGACAGATATGGCTACAGTCAGGAGGCAGACCCAGGGCCTGCCTGACTCAGGGAACCAACAGGTGCAGTGGGGACAAGAGAAACCCCCTGCCTGTTTAGCCTGGTGCAGGGTCAGGCAACTGAAGCCAACACCTGTAAGTATATGAAGGATAAAAGAATACAAAGCGACTCCATGTAAGATCCCCAGCATGTAGAGTGACTCCAAAGGGATAACTAAAGATAGTGAAAAAAAAAAAAAAACTAACCAAATCAATGCCTCTTACCCATGCTATGGCACCTAACCGAGATCTACAGAGAAAACAATTAATACAAATTGTTAAAACCTTTCCATGCTGTGCCACACCTTGTCTATGATTGATTTAGTACATGATGTTAACCTTCAAGTGTTTTGCAGATGTGAAACCCATTTGAAAGAACCTGAAGAAGCAAAGGCCAGCTATAGCTGTGAGATTCTTGGGAGTTTTTATGGTTGTGTAAAATAGAAACAGAGGCTCCCAAGACTATACAACTGTTAAGAAAAACTATAGTACAATGGGTGGGTTGTCCCCCTATGAGATGTTGGTTAGAGAGAGATCCTAGAGTTCCTCAGATTCACCAAGACTATTGCTACTACTGTCAGTTGTACACTAGAAAGGTCAATAAGGCCATGTTGCTGAAGACACTGCATGATGTGAGCGCAAGAGAAGAACGGAGCTGAGACTAAGCCAAAATTTCCATTGCACTGGATGGATGGCTTTCATAGTGCCAGAAGGTGCTATGCAGACGGTTGGGGAAGAAAGGATTCTCTATGATTCTATTCAACAATGGACCCTGCGTGCTGCACACTATGGACATGCCCAGCAATGCCTGCTAGTGCAATAATGGCTTGACTAACACACATACACTTGACAAATTTCTAATTGGATAAGGCCCGCTCCTAGGGTTGGTACACACATCTGGTACTGTAGACCAGGCCAAGCCCCTGTGTCAGGGAAGGCTGCAGGCCCCAGCAGGGAAGCTGTTGCAAGTATATTGTTTAATGAATATGGCACATACTGGGACATCTTCTAGACATTTGTATTTACATCCGTGTTTGTTTAGATGTGTCTACTTCCTTCCATTTGTCTTTATAGCAGGGGAAATACCACTGAGATAGATCAGTGGCCGCATCTTGAAGACAAATGATTGGGAGGCTGAAGAGGTCACTATCTTGCCATATTACAAGAGAGGTCACCCTGCATCTGTCACCCCCTTCAAAGCTCAGGGAAATTTGCAGAAGAGGAGGCAGAAAGTTTGTAAGAGCTGGGGGAAAGGAGTGGAGTGTAGCCCAAAAATTACTCGTTCCTCCAAAAAGAGTGCACCCACAGAGAGTAAGCCAGCCAAGGGCAAGATGAGGAGCACCCTGGGAAGAGGGGTGGAGCCACTGCCATGTGGAGAGAGAGCAGACAGAGAGTTAGCAGCAGCCATATTGGAACTCAGGGAGCGAAGCATGTGTGCAGTGAGGAGCTGGGACCAGGAAGCAAGCAGCCAAGTGCTAAAAGGTAGAGGAAACTGTAGACAACTGGGGGCAAGCCAGCCTGTGCGACCCCACGCGAACTCTGCAGGGCAAGTTGGCATGCGCAGACATGAGATGTGGTACTCAAACTGTGGGTGTGGTGTACAAAAGCTGATGGACCCTACAGGTGGGGCTTGAATGGCACATGAGTTATGGGAAGCCATTTCTTGTAAGTCTCACCCCCCCAAATGTTATATAAACCGTGCAATAGAAATAGAAATAGAAATATGCCAGTTTGTCAATCCACATCAGGACCATGAGACCCTGAGTGAGTGAGGGCGGTTCTCCCAGAGAGTGGGAAGGGGAAAATTTAGTACAACAGAGTCTCTCTGGGTCACTCGAAGGCAAATGTGGCAAGATTTGTGTTGAGCCAGTTTTGAGGGAGCAAATTGACAGAAAGCGAAATTCAATGCTAGTGAGCTTCTGGAAGGCTTTAACACCTAAGCAGCAGTACACAAATAAAAAGACCAAGCTTGGGACTGGGAGAGTGGCTCAACAGGCAAACCTCTTGCCTTACAAGCCTGAAGACCAGAATTCTGATGCCCAGAAACCATATAATAACTTGGAGGTCACAGGCCCCAGTGGAGAGGCCACTTTCATTGTTAAATGGATGTGATATGTCTGTCAAATTACCTTCCAAACACTAGTGATTATAGATGAATGCTGTTATCAGCCTGAATTTGTCATGGGAAGAAAATCCTTTTTTAGATGGGTGGTGTACTACAGAGACTCATACTGGTCAAGCTCTGGAGAATATCATAGCTGCTACTCCATAGCTGTAGGAAATTAATCAGACATCTATGCCTCCCTCTCCAAAGCTCAGGC